ACTGCCTCCTGGTCCAAGTATAAGTTTTGCATTAGAATGATCAAGTGTTCTGGGATTCCCATTCTTCTCAGAAACAGCCATAGTTTGTTATGATCTACACAGTCAAATGCCTTTGCATAGTCATATGATCATCCTCTTTTGCCTTTCCAATGCATAGGTAATCGTCTTCTCTGGCCTGTCCAAGGAAACCCAAACCTGCAGATGGCAGGCATGCATCCCATCCCCCACCTCCTATGCAGGTGGCCAGTGGGGTGCGCGCCCCCCTCACCAGTGCGGGAGGCCTGCGGGAGGCATGCGGCTCCCCCAGTGCGGGCAGCCATTGGGGGCGCACCTCCCCACCCTGCCGCACGGGCGCTTGGCGGGTGCCCGGGCCCGCTTCCCCCACAGCTGCCATCCTGGCTCCAAGAATTCTCTCCAGACTAAGACCACCTTGCAGCAGCGTGGTGGCGTCACTGTACCAGTCTTGAGGAGGGCCGGTGCCCAGCATCCATCCTGGGTGAGGGAATCCATTCGTTCCAGCTGTGGAAGCCTCATGGAGCTGCAGCAGCTGTTCGGGGTGGCACAGGCTCTGGGGGCAGGGGGGTTGGGAGCCATGAGACTCACCCATTTCTCCTTGGGAATCCTTGAATTCCTGTTGTTGAGCCTCAATCTTCACTGAGGGCCAGTCATCAACTGTTTAAATGTTCAATTAGCAATAAGCCGAAGTCTGTGGAAGGCCATAATGTCCCTGCTTTAAGAGGTTCGCTGCTCCCGCAGCTCACCATGCTGTCTCTGCCTCTGCCACCATCTTGGATCTCCCCAAAACATCTTTTGTATAAACCTAAATCCCCTTATTGAGATAGTGATCACCCCTGGAATAATGGAAAGTGTAAAAGTGTTGTCTTTTGAATGGAAATAAATAATATTGTAGATTCAGCTAAAAATGTAAAATGTATCAGCTTAAATTTAAAATGTAACTTTTTTACTTTGTAACTTTGTAACCCAAACAAGTTGAAGAACAGGTTTAAAAAGAAAATGTTTAAGGAAAAAGCCATTGTCTACCAGGCTCTCCAATTACCAAGGAATCATGACCATAAAGAATAGCCTTCTCCAAGGAACCATGACCATAAAGAATAGCTGTGTGCAAGAAAATAATGTAAACTTTATTCTTACTTTTGTTGTCTTTTTGGCTATTGGTAAGCCCCTAATTGTAAAGATGGAATATAAATGTATCATGTTAAATGTAATAAGCAGGAAAAAGGGGAAAGGAAGAAAGAAGAAGGAGAATTAGAATGACTTAGAATTAAAATCATCAAGATCACTCGACTGTCTTGTGTTCTTTCATCGTCCCTTCGCCGAACTTCTACCCACCTTCATGTTCCCTCTTCGAGACCCTAGACCTCGGGCTTCCAAGCCCCTCTGCAGCGCCATATGAACAAGGGCCAATGGCAATAAGGAACAAGTTCATGCTGCAGTGAACGCATTGGGGAGAAAAATAAGGCCCCAGGAATCCATGGGATATCAACTGACATGGTTTCAAAAAACAGATGCAGCTTGGAAAGTGTTCACCAGTCTATGCCAGGAAATTTGGATGATAGCTGCCTGGCTGACTGACTGGAAGAGATCTATATTAGTCCTTATCTCAAGAAAGGTGATATAACAGAATGTGGAAATTGTCAAACAATAGCATTACATGAAAGTAAAATATCGCAGAAGATCATCCAGAAATGGCTTTAACATGAAAGTAAAATATCGCAGAAGATCATCCAGAAATGGCTTTAATAGTACATTTACAAAGAATTGCCAGACATTCAAGGTGGGTTTAGAAGAGGCCGTGGCATCAGTGATATGATTGTTGATCTTATTTTCCTGGAGCACTTCTCAATTTATAAGTTCTGGTGGTGCAGACAGCAGGGAGTAGTGCTTCTAACTCAAGGGTGGCCTCTATCTGGTGGGATGAATCTACCAGTGGCTCCAGGGGAAGTCTCTTCCCATGTGATTTACAGCCTCTAATTACCGCTTGGAGAATCAGCCAGAAGTCTGTTCCTGACTCAAAGGCAATGAAATTTGTTCTGTTTTTCAGTTTTGATAATTAAGCACACAAAAGTTTATTATGGCAGAAAAACACTCTCAGAAAGGGAGAGGATGACCATCTCTGGAATTGTTATTGTTGTTAGGTACTGTCAAGTGGGTATGACTCATTGTGATCCTATGAACAACAGATTTGAACCTTGTCCTATCTGTGCCATGCTCACAATTTCTGACACAGTCAAGCCTATTGCTGCAGTCACTGTGCCAGTCCACCTCGTTGAGGGTCTTCTTCCACTTCTCTGTCCCTCCACATTTCCAAGCATAATGTCCTTCTCCAAGGAAAAGCCTCTCCTAGCATAACAAGATGCCCAAAGTATGTGAGATGAAGCATCAAATAGTAGGTATCCAATAAATATTTAAAAATTTAATTAAAAAATTTTGCATCCTCAAAAGTCTGCAGACTATGCAAGCAGGAAGCCCAGGTTTCTTATTCTAGGCTTTATTTTCAAACCCCAGTTTGTTTGGCTAGTTGCCAGTTATCAGAGTAGAACTGTGCATGAGAGGGTTTTCAACCATTGTTCAGAAGTACATCACTAGGCATTTACTTTTTCCATCACTAAAGGATTCCACTGATACACAGTAGAAACTTTAAAAAGGTGACTGAGTGGATTAAAGAGCTTTAAAAATGGAAGTTTTAAAGAGAAAATAAAACCCAAGTGGTATCTTGAGTGTATTACATGTGGTGCCCTGATGCATTTGGGTTGGGAGGATTCATGGTTAAAAGAATAAGAATTCAATAAGTCATTAGTACTGTAGGAAGCTGCGCTGCAATCCCCAAGGCACACGGTTCAAAGCCTCCAGCTGCTCCGGGAGAAGGAAAACGCGCCAGAATGTCAGTTACAGGTCGGTTCCCGCTTGATGGTACACAACAACAGCAACTGTTTCGTTTAGAGAGTTTTTTAAAGTTACAATTTCCAGATATTTTAGAACAAAACTGACACCCAAGTTAGTAGTGCAAGAAGAGGCAACCAGTTACCGTGGAATACCCGCCAACCTACACCCTTCTGGAGTGCTCTCCCAGATCCAGTCTGAGGCCGTACACGTGGACTGGCTATCAAGCCTGAGATCTCTCCTGTTTGACTGTAGCTCCCCGTCCCCCACAGGCTCCAAGGATGATTCTAAACTGGAGCATCATAGGGAGAGTTAGTTACATTCTCTTCAGTTTCATTTTTCTTATCAGTAATAACAAACACATTATCCACGAACTGGTTTGTGTAAAATGGCTTGCACAGACAGTATCCTTGACAAATCCAGCCCATCATAATTGTAGCCATCAAGTGTAAAGACTTTCACTTCTTCATTCTTTGCTCCTCTCTTTCCCCATTCTCACTTAATCTAAGCAAATAAACCTAAAAAGCCCGCGGGCCCCTTCTCTGGGCATGCGCATTAGAGAACGGCCACGCCCTCCTCTAATCAAATCTTTGGGAGGTAAAGGATTTATCTCCATCTTAATCTCATTTGATTGCATAAACTAAAAGTATGTAGACCATGTCATATTACAAGTCGCAAAGGCTTAAAGTCTCCTGGCTATTGGTCAGACGACCAATCCACTCAGTTCGCAACCGAGAGGACCAGGTGGCTTTCAGACCCGCCCCTGCTCTGCGCTAGAGGAGAGTTCGACCACCCCCAGCTAACTGGAGAGGGAAGGGATTGCCTAGCAGGCTGTTCATTGGCCCAGAGTCACAAAGGCCGGCAGCTTCCCCCTTTCCGGTCTCTGAATGGTTGAAGCCGAAAATCTACATTTACAGTGATTGGCTGAGCAGAGCTGTCAGTCTTCCCGCGTCTGGCGGCGCGGCGCTGCACGGCCAGGCGAGGCCTGTATATAGAGAGCAGTGTCTGAACCTGCAGCAGGGAGAAGATGGCGGTCGCAGTGAGAACTTTGCAGGAGCAGCTAGAAAAGGCCAAAGAGAGTCTAAAGAACGTGGATGAGAATATTCGCAAGCTCACCGGGCGGGATCCCAATGATGTGAGGTAAAGTCAGAGGGGAAGCCTGCAAAGCCGAGGTGAAGTGGGGGCGGGGAGGGATCCCCGCTCTGGGAAGCCTGGGACATCGTGCTGTGTTCCGGGGCGGTGGTCGAACCGGGTCATTGGTGAGGGGAGGAAGCTTCCGGACTTCCTCTTGGGCCCTGGGCTCAGGGACGTGCAGAAGGGAGTGAGCGCTTGGTTTTCAGTGATGGTTCCCCGGCGATTGGTGAGGCCTGGGCCCGGCTTCCCGCCCTCGGCCCCCGGGGCCCGGCCTGCAGCACAAAGCCCCTGTTCGTAGCTCCGTGGCCGGGACACCCTCCCTAGTGTCTACATGCAGCTTCGACGGGTTTGGTGGGATTAAGACTAGATTCAGACCTGTTAACGTAGCAGGCGACGAGGCGAATGTGGTCTCAATGACAATTAGGCTGGAAAAAGAAGGAAGTTCACTTAGATGGTTCTTCCTGCCCGCATTTCATATTGTGCTTCTGAACAAGTCGGTTATAGGTGATTTTTAAAAACTCTCTTCTAGGCCCATCCAAGCCAGGTTGCTGGCCCTTTCTGGTCCTGGTGGAGGTAGAGGACGGGGTAATTTATTGCTGAGGTAAGATCACTTTAAGACTTAAATCACGGTTAACAGTACTGCTATTTTGGTAATTTTTGTTTTAAGTTAAGCGTTTATACTAAAGAAAATTCATAGTATAAAGCAAATGTTAGAAATGCTATTATTAGTTTTGTCTGAAGCCCTGATCAGTTCTACCTTTCTGTATGTAGCTATGTTAAAACTTTATTTGCGTGAAAGTACAACTCAAGATTGAAGAGTTTATTGATTTACTAGTTTTGGGGAGGGGGGGAATAGTAAACCTCCTGAGGTTGAAGGAGAGAAAATCATAAGTGCATTTTGGAAGTGAGGAATCTTTTAGTTTCTGGTAAATGGGAAAAGGAGCGGCTTGGTGGTATAATGGTCTAGTGTGTGACTGCTGTGAAAGGTCGGCTTCAGCCCACCAAGTACTTTAGAAAGACTGAAGCCCACCAAGTACTTTAGAAAGACGTATGTGCTGCTCCTGTAAAAAGGATAGCCTCCCCCATGATGTCTAGCACTGGGCTCCGATCACCCTTGAGGACACAGTGCTCCCCAGGACCTTTGACACCTGGGGATCTGAGGGGCCCTGGCAAAAATGAAAGAGGAGGGAAAAAAAGGACAGCTTTGGAAACCATTTACAGCAGTTCTAGTCTGCTCTGTGAGGTTTATATGAGTCAGAATTTGGTGACAGTGGATTTGGTTTGAGCTTGATTTAATTGGAGAATTGTCTTGCTAAATGGAAGTACTGTGTATTTCAAGTTTAAAATAGTTTATGTGGGATATTTTCTTTCCATTGCAGGCGTGGATTCTCAGATAGTGGAGGAGGACCCCCAGCCAAACAGAGAGACCTTGAAGGGGCAATCAGTAGGTATGTAAGTTAAGAAAGACACAAATAGTGTTGTTGAGTTGAGTCATTTTAAAATTGATTACATCCAAGTTTCCTTATGTCCTCATTGATAACACATTATCAATGAAAGGGAGAATAAGACTGAAGAATTTTCCATTAGTACAGCTTTTCCTTTCTTATGCTACAAAACCTGACCTGTCTGAGAAATAATTTAGACAGAAATTTGGTTTGGGCTTTATAGACACATTTTATCCTTTCACTGTTAGGAGTAAAATGGAATGGATACTGATTAAGTGAATTTTCACTAAATGAGTCTTAGAAAAACATACATTTGCCTGGTATGCATCCCAGGCATGTTGTTTAGCAGTCATTTCATGGTTTTGTGGTTTGTTTTGTTTTTTTTTTCTTTTGCTATGCCAGGCTGGGTGGAGAGCGTCGGACAAGGAGAGAATCACGCCAGGAAAGTGACCCAGAAGATGATGATGTTAAAAAGGTATTCACATCTAAAATTTCTTCACCCAGAAAGTAGGGGTACAAATACATACTTGTACAACTATATTGCAGTACTATTTACACTACCAAAAGGTGGAAGCAGCTCAAATGTTAGTCAACAGACAAATGGCTGAGCAAAATGTAAGATATGTAGACGGTGAAATATTATTACTCAGCCATAGGGAGTTTGATATGCTATGACATGCATGAGCCTTGAAAATATATTAAGTTAAATATGTTAGACACTAAAGACTAAAGGATAATGTTATGTGATTCACACTTAATATCTAGAGATACACTAAATGCATGCAGAACAAAGTTTGTGAAGGAGGATGTCACTAGTTGTTAAAGGTTAGTTGATTTCTGGTAAAGATGGTGGGAAAAAAATTTGGTTAATGAATGATAATAGCACAGTATGGTGAACATAATTGTACACCTAAAATGAGAGAGGTATTTGAATATTTGAAGTGTAGTGCAATTAAAAGGAGCCATGGCAGTACAGTATGTAATGTCTTGTGCTGCTGTTAGCTCTATGGTCACCAGTTTGAATCCAGCAGCTGCTCTGAGGGAGAAGGCTGGACAGTCTGTAACTATGTATATTTTTTAGTAGAATGCTATTCATATGCTAACTAATGACATTTTCTTTCTTTATAGCCAGCATTGCAATCTTCGGTTGTAGCTACCTCCAAAGAGCGTACGCGTAGAGACCTTATCCAGGATCAGAACATGGATGAAAAGGGAAAGCAGAGGTACCTTTAGCATCCTTCTTCGGGGACATTTGCTTTCAATTTATATTTGCTATACCGTTTTGAGAATAAGGTGGTTTGAATGCTTGTATATTTTAGCAAATGATAGATTTAACTGAAATAAATCTTTTTCTCTTTAGAAATCGACGAATATTTGGCTTGTTGATGGGCACTCTTCAGAAATTTAAGCAAGAATCCACTGTTGCTACTGAAAGGGTATTTATGGAGTTTTTGTTTTGCTTTATGTCTTTGTTATTTAAGTGGTCAGTTGCACAACTAACATGAATCCAAGGGAGAACTTAGAAAAGTTTCAATTCAATTAGAGGGCATTTTATTTTTATTAAAGTAAAATTTTTATACTGGTTGACTTATAAAGTTTGTATACCTTGTTTTGTTGGGTTTTTAAAAAATTTTATTTTAATAGTTTTAATGAACATTTACAGAGATTTGGATTTCCATTCATTCATTATTGCACTTTTCTCCCTGCCTAAGCACCCCCCCCCCCCAGTTTGCTCGTCTCTTTGAAAAAGGTATACCTTGTTTTTCACACCAGGTCGTACCCATTTCCTTTACTCACCCCTCCAACTTCACCTTTGCATGTTAACTCTACTAGATATTATGAAAAGTTAAAACTGTATTGATTTTGAACAATTTTGGAGAGTTCATTAAAATTTAAAGAATAGTAATTTTTTGAAGTTTGTTCATCTTTGAAGTAAGATGAAGAGAAAGTATGATTAGTTTGTTATTTACCAAGATTATATTGGGTCAGATTGATTCGGAAATAATTCTGAAGAGAATCTATAAAGACAAAATTTCTTTTTACGATTGTTTAATTGAAACCAAATATGCTTTTGTAATCCTCTTTTGTTACTATAAGACATAAATATTAAAAGGTAATTACTTCTTTTTAGCAAAAGAGACGCCAGGAAATTGAACAAAAACTTGAAGTGCAGGCAGAAGAGGAGAGAAAGCAGGTTGAAAATGAGAGGAGAGAATTATTTGAGGAAAGACGTGCTAAACAGACAGAACTGCGGCTTTTGGAACAGAAAGTTGAGCTTGCACAGCTGCAAGAAGAATGGAATGAGCATAATGCTAAGATAATTAAATATATAAGAACTAAAACAAAGCCCCATTTGTTCTATATTCCTGGAAGAATGTGTCCTGCTACCCAAAAACTAGCAGAAGAGTCACAAAGAAAAATGAATGGTAAGTATATATGGAGAAGTCCATTGAAATTTTCTTAATGGGCTAGGGAGCATGGAGTTGTTTCAAACAATTCTGCTTTTTATGTTTTGAGGTGCAGGTAAATTTATTTAATGATAACATTTAACCTGAAACATTTTGTGGATGGTGCATGTGCTTAAAGTAGTTTAATAAGGTGAATTTTGCTTAATAGACATTGTAACTATAATGCTAGTGAAGCAATAGGGAGAAAACACATGGGTGGAATAGACCTGTTAAAATAATGGTTAGATTATTTATTCTTGGGTCATAGAAATTAATATGTGATAAGAAAAGTTTTTAGGTGAAACTTAGTGACAGTTTGTATGTAGGTGTAACGTTTTTTTAAAAATCATAAATTTTATACATGTGATTTTTTTTTTATTCTTTAGCTTTATTTGAAGGTAGACGCATTGAATTTGCAG